ACAAATTTTTCTATAGCTTCATCCTTGCTTTTAAGCAGATACACATAACAGTATTTTGTGCCATCGTCGACAAAAGTAATAAAATACTTGTTGCCACCTCTTGTTTGTACAAGTTTAAGTCACAAACATCACTGTGAATTAAATCAAGTAGTTCTGTGTTCCGTTCAACTGACTTAAAGGATGATCTTTTTAATTTTGTCTTAACACAAGTTTCACACTTATGTTCGAAATCATTATGAAACTTGGATATGCTATTCTAGTTAACTAGTTTACGTAAAGTATCATAGTTAACATGTCCTAGTCTACCATACCACAAACTGGAAGACTCAAGCAAATAAGCAGAAGAATTTGCTTTATTCGTTTTTGGTTTCACAACCATTACATTCAGCTTAAATATACCGTCGGAAACATAACCTTTTTCGACAAACATTTCACTTTTTGATAGAATGACTTTATCTGACTCAAATACAATGCGAAAATTATGCTTATTCAAAAGTGATCCGGACACTAAATTCTTATGAACTTCCGACACATATAGCACAATGTTGAGAGGTAGCTCATTTCTCGAGGTTACCTTTAGAACCACTTTTCCTTGACCTTTGATTTCAAAGGCCGCTGAATTTTCCATGAACGGTTTCTCCCTGTTCTCAATTGCTTCGAACGTAGCAAACAGCTCTTTATCAGAGTACACATGCCTTGTAGCACTGGTGTCAATCCACCACTCCTTAGGGTTTGAACCCACCATGTTTACTTCAGAAATGACGGCTACGAGATTCATTTCTGAGACATCTTGTGTCATGTAGTCAACCATATTTGCTTCTTTCGTCTTCTTCTTTGGCATTCTGCACTTCGAAGACTTGTGGCCTACTTTGTCACAATTGAAGTACTTCCCTTGAAATTTTTTTTTAGAAATTCCTCCTTTCGGTCCGTGCTTGGTCTTTTTTCCACTGGATGGCCCAAACTTATTTTTGTAACTCTTACTATTTTGATCATACTCCACAATATTGGCTTTAGCAACACTAGGATTGAACCACTTCTTTTCTAAACTTTTGTTGTCTTCTTCAATTCAAAGTCTAACAATAAGTTTTTCAACGTTCATTTCCTTTCGTTTGTGTTTCAAAAAAATTTTGAAATATTTCCATGCGGGGGGCAATTTTTCAATAATTGCTGCCACTTGAAAGGTTTCACTCAACACCATTCCTTCGGTATGAATTTCGTAAAGAATCATTTGGATTTCTTGTGTAACGCCCAGAAAATTTTAAAATATAAATGTATTTATTTTATATGTCATATTTTTATTTTGAAAAAAGAAAAAAAATGAACTAAAATGAATTAGATTTTAAATGCATATTTTATTTGTGTCAAATAATTAAATTTTGATAGAACGAGATTTTATATATCAATATTGGGCTCGTGAGATAACTCGTAATTAATTATGTATGTTAGGCTCGAGAAAAAGTCGATTCGGATAAGTTAGACTAAAGATAATAAAGTTTATGGTCCTTGTCAATTATTGGTAATTGTTTATAATTTTAGTTGTGAATTTATAATGGATACCAACGTGTAGACCTATATAACACTTTGGACACTTCCTTGATATAGTACACTGCATCCATTATTTGGTGCCACCAAAAGAGTAAATTGTCCTTTACTTGAATTAATTAAGTTGGCCTTTCCTTTCCTTGTATTTCATTAGTTGATGGACACGTTACATTTTAAATTGAAACAATGTGTAACTTAGGCAATTATATAGTAAATGTGTGTCCATATACGGTGATGGAAGAATTATGAATGATTCATAGGTATATCTCATGCGGATAATTATGACATACTAAGAATAAGAACATCAAATTGGGAATAATAGATGAAAGATTTTTCTTTTAGGTTTTAAATGCATATTTTATTAAATTTCGACAGAGTGAGTATGAGTATACCTATATTGGGCTCATTTCGTAGCTCGCATTCAATAACATATTTTCGACTCAAGAAAATTTAAGTTCTTCTAAGTTAAACCTAAGTTTTTCCAATTCAAAGAAACGTAGGTAATAAGTATTATTTTTACTATTTAATAATATTTCTTTTAAGATAACAAGGAAGAAAGTAATAATTTATCATATAATTAACGTTTATCTTTGTTATTTGAAAAAGAGATTCAATTGTCTTAATTGTTATTTACCTTTTATCCACTAGCAATTCAATTTTTTTTTCTTGTGCGTGATTTGAGCATTTTAACAAACGAGAGAGAGAGATATTTCTAGTTGATTTGATTGATTGATGGATAGAGGGAAATAAACTTCACTTATTGTAAGAAGACTTTTACCTTGATTTTGGAATATAATATTAACTTAACATTTAGGACTTTTGATGTTCCCAAAATAACACACGTTTCTTTTGGTCTAGCTTTGAATAATTTATCATATATACTTTTGTACAAATTTATTGGCGTGATTCATGGCAGTTATGACCTTTGTACTATTAGTGTATCAACAATCTTTCAATTAGAATTGAAATAATTGCCTTAATTTCATGCACGTGAATGTGTGAAAAGAGCATAAACAAATTTAGCTATTTTTGGGAAAACGCATAGAATACACTATAAATGTTATGAATTATTTTGTGTAGAACAAAGATAGTGACAGATAGAGAGGAAAACAAATTGGGGACGTGAATTTCTTATTTTCAACAATCAAGGTAGGATACTTTTATGTGCAAGTGTATNGTGATTTGCACCCCCTGCGCGCGCACGTGGAGAGAACCTCTATGCTATACATGATCACACCATTCCAATGCATAGTCATATATAAAGTGGTTTTGGTTTCCATGTTTTTCCTATGTGGGACAAAGTTTTCCCACCAATATAGACTATTTCCAATGGTCCAATTTGGACTCCAATTTTTCATTCACCTGAGTTTTATTTTTGGCAAATAAATACATAACTTCGATTTTCTCGCGGAGGATAACACATATCAACTTTGATATTCCAAATTAGATTAACGTGTCCTATCGAAAATTGTGCCAAAAGTGAGCCAATTCACTCATTTTTCCAACAATGGTAATATAGGTTTATCTGAAGAGAAGTCGGGCATCGAAACTGCTTGTGTTCCGGTAAACTTTTTTTGAAGTCGAGGATGCTTTTGTGTTTTGATGACATCTTAACCTGCAATGGAGAATATGGAACATAATAGTTCCACTGATATGATTCAATTAGAAACAAAAAGAATATTCATTGAAAAAATTTTAAAACTCAGGGAGACGTAGCACTTTACGTGTCCCGTGTTACGTTGATGTCAAAATTATCCCCATTTTCGATGCAAGTAAAGAATCATTTTCACATATTTGTTACATGTCTACACATGATGGCGTCGTGTGAGTTTGGAGCAAAAATGTTGATGCTATATGATACGAATAATAGACTACAATAGCCAACCAAGTGAAGGTGACTTCTGCTATGTTAGATAACTATCATTATGCTAGAAAACACCTGCTATGCCAACCTGTCTATCGTTATGCTATCTCGTCTACCACTATGCTGATCTGCCTATCGTTATGCTTGTCTGTCTACTGTTATGCTAGCCTGACTAGCACTTTGACAGATTCGACCGTTATAACTCTCAATCACCCGAACATGAGTTGATCAAAAACCATTAAACGGTTATCATCGATCCCATTACCCAATTCGTGAATGGAGGTTAACTGTTCAACATGGGAACGAAACCTCCCAGTGAGTGGCCAAGTGACATTGGACATGTGGACAATAATCGCTTAGCTGTTACATGGCATCAAGTGTCTGTAAATACTCTACCAGCGTGCCACATACAGCTCTCCTCCTTTTGTCCAGCACATTTTCTGGCATTCTCTTGTTTTTTTCCTTTTAAATCATTCTTTTACTACCAAATCACTGATTTTCACACTGACGGTACAACGGAGAAGAAAGTCCCTATTTTTGTTGGATTTGACTTTTATATTTTGCTAAAATCTACTCTAAAATAGTAAAACATACTATAAAACACACTTTGAAAGGGAAAATTGTACAGGGTCGCTAACTTTTTTAATTTTTACAAATTTTACCCTAACATTCCATTTGTGTCAATAAAAGTCCCTAATCTTTCATAAATATGCACCTGGAGTTCATCTGAATGGAAACTCTCCATGAAACCGTTAAATGACCAAAAAAGTGGGCTTTGGCCAATTTGGCCAAATTAAAAGAGGTAAGTCTTCTTCTCCAATTACAAAAAGCAAGGCAAAAGTACATAGACATAGAGGCAAGTCTATCCATGAATTTCTTGAACACAAAGGCCGACAAATGCTTTTACTCATTATAATTGCTTAAAGCTTTTACTGGGTATTGTTGCCATAATGAGTTGGTTGTAAAAAAGGGTGCTCTAAGTCCTTCTTGCTTTCCCTTCTTTTTCTCCAAAATTTTCTCCTCTCTTAAATCCCAAAAATTTAGAATCTCAAAAGAAATAAAAAAAACTCAAATGGGATTTCGAAGTATGATTTTTGATTTTGTGTTGCAGACTCCTTGGGAAGGCGTGGAAATTTGAGGGTTGTTGAATGAATATATAGGCGGGGGGGGGTTCTACCAACCTTGAAATGATTTTTGGTTGGGGATGGTTTGAAATGGGGTGTGGTGTGGGGTTGGAGGGTGGTGGCGATGGTGGCCGTAGTTGTGGTCATGGGTGGTGCGATGGCATGTTGGTGGATGTCGATGGTTGGCAATGTATTGCTTGAAGCAGACGAAGATGGGTGGGTTAGAGGTTTTGGGTTAAATTTCATTTTTTTCTCTTAGTTTTATTATTCTGATTGTCAATATTTATAAATATACAAAGTTATCATTTTACTTATTTCAATTTGATCAAAATTGGTCAAAGTCCATTTTTTTGGCTCAACTGACAGTTTCATGGACGGTTTTTTTATCAAGATGGACTCAATGTGCATATTTACAAAATGTCAGAAACCTCTACTAATATAAATTGAAGGTTGAGATAAAATCTGCAAAAGTTAAAACGGTTTAAAAACCGCTGCTACAATTTCCCCACTTTGAAATGTCCAAATTGCCTCAACCCCAGCATAAAGTGGGCTGGGTTTTCGGAAACCTTCAGAAGTCCCAACTCAAGAAGGAGGCGAATCAGAGTGATGGGAATTTCTGAAGGGTGGTTGCCCCTCTCTTTTTTGCCAATGATTTCACAATCTACAAAAATCAACAGCCCTTTTAATCTACCAGTAACTGTATCTGTTTCCTCGTCGTTACTGTATGTTCATGGAAAGAGTAAATTTCATACGCGGTCAATAAACTTTAAGGGAAATTTCAATTGGTCACTGAACTTTAAGCAAATTTTATCTGTAGGCTGTGAGGATTATTTTCTTTGAGTTGGTTTGGTCATGGAGAAATGAGACCCGTATCTTGGCGCGGCGAACCTTGATGGCTTTGTAAGGAGGGAGATTGACGGCGTTCTCTTTTTCTCTTGCATATGCAACTGGGCTTTTGCAGCCATGGCGGTGTCTCGCTCTACATGCTTCTTGCATTTTCAGATCTGAGCCTAACACAGGTTTTACACTTGCTTATTTTACTTGTAAGTAAACTTTATAAGCTTCTACAAACATGCACTCAGTCACTCTTGCAAAAATCCCAACTCAAGAATGAGGCAAAAAAAGGAATGGGATATTTCTAAGGGGTGTTTGCCCTCTGTTTTTGCTAATAATTTCACAAAATCAGCATATCAACAACCTTTTCTTTCCAGCAGTTAGCTGAATGCTTGTTATCCACCATTCATTTGTATATATTTATAATTTAAACCGATTATAAACAACTCCCTAACATGCTTTGAATCATTTCTCAGTATGTGACCCTGTTAGCTGGCACAAAGAACGGCTTATAAGTAAAACCAAGATCTACTTTTAAGCTTAGCCAAGCCCGCACTTTAGTCGAAACCCTAATAATTCTGTTGTTGCTTT